TCAGGTTTCGGTATTTGGAACTCTTTTCTTCTCAATAAATATCACATTATTGTCAGGCACAAAAGCCTGCTAGAATGATACTGTACCTCCCTACTCCATACTCTACCTGAGTAATAATACTCCTGTAGCACAAACATTAGAGCATGGCACTAGCAACAACAAGGTTATGGGTTTGATTCCCAGGTAATGCCTGAACAGATAACATGTATACCTTGAATGCAAAGTCTCTTTCGATCAAAGCATCTGTCAAATGCATTCGTGTTTAAGAATGACAGCCATAATCAGAAAATATTGATAATATATATATGTTTGTTTTTTTTCCCCTTTCTGAAGTATTGAATATTTAATGCCACTGGAAGAAACAATGACAGGGTCACACAAATCCATTAACGGCATAGCAAACCATTGTATGTTTCTCATTGTGTGTGTTTGTGCTGGGAGGGGCAGCAATCTCTGAAGGTTTTCGCAAATATAATCCTTTATTCAGGACTTATTGATTTGTCTTATAGACTGTTGGGTGGAAGATAAGAAGAAAAAAGCAATAAAATAAACCACCAAGGGGTTGAGTTTTATGTTGTACCATTTGCCTTGCATATCGTAAATGTTTGTATTTGATAGATAAAAAGGCTGAAAATTCTTCTCGGAGAGCGGTTTTAATTTGACGAGACTCAGGCCGGCTCTTAAAAAGCACCTCTAAATCCCTTAAAAATCAGAACGCGCTTCAGGAACTACATAAAAGAGATGCTAAAAGGGTTTTTAGCCGTATAAACGTGGGAGGCGTATTGATTCCCGTCGCTCACGTGCGTGATCACCTGACACGTCTCGGGCTGGGCCGAGCTGTCGGGGTTTGTTTGTACAGATGGAGGAGAGGGGGGATTGTAAGGCAAAATCATCAGCAGTGCTCTTTGATGTCTAAATGAAGCATGTGCAGACCAGACCATACACACACACACACACACACACACACACACACACTGTTGAACAGAGATGCTGAGAAACAACACACACACACTAACCCACATACCTACATACATGCACACACAAATGCAAAGAGAAACCCCATATACACATTAACCTGTACTGTAAAAGTGCATGCATACTGCATTCTTGAAACCTTCCCAAACTAAGCTACAGAACAAAACTAAAGCGGGACGATTTCTAGGCCAATCTGGAACTGTTCTGACATCAGACTCTCAGTAACGTCTGATGATTGGAATTGAAACAGGCTTGTTAAAATCTAATCCCAATATCCCAATGTGCTTGAAGTTACACACACAGCAGGGAATTTACAAAGAACACACACGATCACACACACACACACACACACGATCACACACACACACGCGCGCACGCACGCACGCACACACACAACTAAAATAAAATAAAATGAATACATTGTGCATAAAGAAATTAAAGCCTATTTTATAGGTTTAAGATTAAGTATTGCAGCATTATTTTGTCAGTCAAGCACATTTCCCCTCAAACTGTCATTATAGTAATGCATATAATCTTATTCCTATTACTGTCATTTGAAAAAAATATAATTTTCATTCTGTAATATTCTTCATTATCATATTGTAATTCAGCAGTGAAAATCATAGACAAAATAATATTTTTCAAATTAAAAAATACAAATTAAGTTTAGCAAAATAAATACTACTGTGATGTATTTTTCAGAATTGTATTTATATTATCATTGAAAAGTTTAGGGTAGGCAAGACAAGGCTGCATAAAAAAAAAACTAAAAACAGCAATATTATGAAATATTACTGCAATTTTAAACAAAAGTTTTCTATTTGAATCTATTTTAAAATGTGATTTATTCAGTCTTCAGTGTCATGATCTTTCAGAAGATATGCTGATTAATATGCTGATTTGCTGCTCAAAAACACTTCTGATTGTAATCAATGATGTTGAAAACAGTTGTGCTACTTATTTTTCTGAAACCACTACACTTTATTTTAAGTATCCTTTGATGAATTGACAAAAGAAAACTGTCTATTTGAAACAAAATCTAATTTGGGCCAATCTCCACATGTAACACGCATCTATCCGTGATGTCTGTGGTCATGGGAAATCTGACATGATAAGACGAGTCTTTAACTCAAAACAGTCGCACCTCAGGAGGATGAAGGGAAATCCACCCAATTCATCACCAAGACTTAAACCATAATACCACTGATGATAATATTCTAATAGATGGGACAGTATAAGTATCATTTTAAAGTCTGTTACTGTCCTGTGTGAAAGTACATCCAGTTAAACTCTGTTAGAGTTACTCTGTTTCTCACTGACATTAAGAGGATTGCAAAAGTTGGCACCAAGTTAACTAGACTTTCCCTTGATACAGCGCTCACTCAGCCAAATCTCACCTACTGAAAACAGGTGGAGAAATGAAGAGCAATGTTTAGCCAGAGCTGGAAAGCATCTAATCAAAGTCAAGCTGCTCTTTAAAAAAAGTAGCTAACTAAAGAGGCTATATGTTTTACATTATATAAGTATCAGATTATATGATTTAACAACATTTTTATTTATATTACAGAATTATTCACTTTGAAATACTATAATTAAACATAAATAATGCTCAACAGCAATGTTTAACGAAACGACAAAAAGGAAATCAATGGAAAGGAAATGCCTTGCATGGTGTTCCAGGAATATGATTGAGTGATGATTCAAATGAAAAGCAGTTTATTAAAAAGAATTGTCTAAACAAACTTTCTGAAATGAATCACTCTTCCCAGAGGTTCTAAAGTATCATTATAGTCTGCTAGGTTGTAAGGCTGTTTGTGCAAAATAATGTGACAAAAACAGTGATTAATTTTGTCATGCTGCAACGCTACTGTAAAAATGCTTTTTATACTGGAAAAACTAGACTCTTATGAAAAAGGCAGAGTTTTCACTGCTGAAAAAATGTAGTTGATTTAGTATTACGGTTGTTCCAGGTTGACTGTTGTCCAACACTCTAAGAAATGTCTGTAAAAATAAGGCACAGTGTACTGTGCAAATATGAAGCAATTCTCTCTATTAAAGTTATGTAATATTGACAGCTAGCAGTTGAAATATGTACTACAGTCCAAATTCAAAACACTGGAGAGGGTTGTTTCTTCTGCCCTCTCCTCCTCAGACTCGGTACTCGGGTTGCCAGCTTGAAGAGACGCCACAGGAACGAGTGCAACAGCAACAAACCTTACACTGTAAGCTGATGGGTTGATTTATGCACATTTTAATATTCCTCTGGTCATAGAGCTTTTTAGATGGATGCTGAGGCTAGGTTGCATAGAATCTGTGATCCATATCCGCGGGAACATTTTTATCTGGAGGGTGCTGGGGGCGGGGCTTGATGTTGTAGGGCGGGGCCACGGTGGGGGATTTTTGTAGACAAAATCCTAATATTAAACAGCCCAAACTCTTATAGATAAACATACAAATGAATGAAGATATATGAGAACGAATATATATTTGTGCTTTGTTATTTTAGTTCAATAATTTTTTTCTTTAATATTTCTGTTATTTAAGGGGATTTTGCTAAATATTAACATCGCTGATATGCCGTTTTGGTCAGTGCACACGCTCGCTGACTAAATTCTGCACTTTGGCGAATTCTCTCATCAGAAACAACAAAGCGCAGATGTACATGAAGTATATGAAGATGTACGAGATTCATTCATCATATACTGCAGCTGCAGACAACATCACTGATTATAACAGGAGCTTTTTTAGAGTGCCTACACTCGCGCTAGACTGAAGTTATTATAGCCTATTATTTGATAATGTAAATGTTCTTTGCTCGCTGTATAATTTATTCGCTGTTTGAATAATCGTGGACATGAGGCGTTAAAATTAGAAACGTAAAATGTTTTTTTATTAAACGTGATGAGGTTAAATACAAATTCAGTCTTATTAAAATATTTTATGACATAACGTTATGATGTGCATAGTTAATAGATTACGCTACAGTTGTTTGAGCGCGTTTGAGCACTGTTGTGCTCATGTGATTGTCGGTGGCAGTCTTGAGAAGCGAGAAAGCTTCGGAAAATGTCTCATAAAAAAGAAGAGGACGTGAATGCTATTTACAAGTCGGAATTTAAAATTACGATAATATGGCGTGAACATTTCACATGAAATCATATCAGTGAGAGCTGAAGGGATGCGCGCAATAAAAATACAATGCACTATATCTCTGGTCATTTTAATATGTTACTAATTGAATGTTTCGATATTTTTTTTTTATATTGTGTGCTATCACAAAAATGAAGTATCCTGTGGATGATCGATGGGCACAAGAAGAATCTGGATGGCATTGCCCATAAGCCCCCCCTTAGGCCCGGCCCTGCGGCAGGGGGTTCTGCAGCACCCCTAGTTCCCGCGGCAATGCTGTGATCTCTGACCCAGTTCGTTTGCTCAATTCCATGGCTACAATACACTGTTTTCCGCCAAATGGCAAACCAGAGAATTTAAATACTATTGGATAAACTGGCAGTTGGCGGAATAACACAGACCAAAACATAAAACAGACATTCCGACACAGAACACACATTTCAAAGTAGAATAATTGGCTGAAGCATTGTTTTTCAGAGAAACAAGTATGTGAGCTTAGCATGTTTCCTAAATATCTGCAAACATAAAATGGTGTTTTAATGCCAACTAGTAGCCTACGTTTAATATATTTAGTGGTGATGCATTTAAAAAGAGAACCAATTCTCAAATCATTCAGAGACACAAGTTCTGGGAGAATGTGCACAATGTGCTATTGCAGTCAGCACAGTAAAACCTTCTCTGAGCAGTTTCTATTTATAATACTTTATACACACCCACTACACTGATTAAAGTTTATGTGCAAATTCAGTTAAACAACCAATTTCAGGGCAATCATTATCAGACTTCAAATCCCCTGCTGCGAGCAATGTTCCCATTATTATGCAGAATCCACAGGTTTGTTTGTGAGATTAAAGGACAGCGTTTTGCTAGAGTCTGTTGCTTTATTCATTTCGGTGTGCTGCTCAATCTTGTGCGTCTGTCAGAACACAGCAGTCTGACAGATGGCTGCTTTAACAAATAGCTGCAAAAGAAAAAGACTTAAACTGTTGGATCCCACAAACTAGATGTTACACAGCCACAATATTTCTGATCTAACAGTATTGGATTTTTGGACATGTAACGGAGATCACTTAGTGGATACAAGTGCTCAGGTAAGTGCATCATTGTGCCTCCAGGAGGTTTTGTACTGTTTAGTTAGTGGAGAAATTCTTATGAGGACATTTGGTAAAACTTTAGTATAGGGACCAATTCTCACTATTAGAATTAGCTGCTTATTAGCATGCCTATTATTAACATATTTACCGTTTATTAGTACTTATAAAACACATATTCTGCATGACCATATTTTACATCCCTAATCCAATACCCAATAGCCAAACTCAACAACTACCTTACTATTAATAAGCAGCGAATTAGGAGTTTGTTGAGGCTTAGAATTAGCTGCTTATTAGCATGCCTATTATTAACATATTTACCGTTTATTAGTACTTATAAAACACATATTCTGCATGACCATATTTTACATCCCTAATCCAATACCCAATAGCCAAACTCAACAACTACCTTACTATTAATAAGCAGCAATTATTTGTCAGATATCTGCTTGTTACCTTATTGAAGGGCTGCACTGAGTGATTATATATCCTTTAGAAATGTGTTTGATCAAGGGCACTGACTAATTACATCCTAAGACTGGAAACCATTCAGACAACCCACCAACTAGTTGATTATAAGCCTTTCTGGTTTTACCTAGTAAGTAGTTTACTAGCATTTGGCACTTTTGTGGAAAAAGGGGAGTGATGTTGTATGAATGAGCCAGAGAGAGAGAGAGAGAGAGAGAGAGATTGTCTGGATAGGCTCCAGATGGTTGGTGTGACAGATATGATGACTATGGTGGTGACAATAAAGGACCCAAAAAATAAATCCCAGATCTGTGTTCATCCTGCATGACATGACATGTTCCCTGCCGACACAGTCAGCAGAGCAGCCAATTAGACACAGTCAATGACTTTAGCTCTGCACAGGCAGCCTAAATCTATCAAATGATCTGAACAACAGTTACAACGTCAAGAAAATGTTCAAAGATTGCTCTGTGCTCTCACTGTAAGCAAACAATGTTTCTATACTGGCTCACAAAAGTATTTGGACACTTAAAGGGGTCATCGGATGCAAAATTCACTTTTACAGGTTGTTTGAACTGAAATGTGTTTTGGCAGTGTGTGTACACAACCACCCTATAATGATAAAAACCCACTCATAAGTCCTCTCATATCAAGCCGATCTCAGATTCCTGTCTGTGTGAGGTCACACTGGGCAAGGCCCCTCCCACGATTGTTGATTGACAGTGGCGTCAGTCTTTGGTTTTATCACAGCTCCGCCCTGAGTGAGCTGTCATCAGTCCGCCATTGTTTCGATGCCAGAGCAGTTGTAGACAAGAATGACTCCTAAGCGATTGAGGTGTTCTGTTGTTGGATGTAATAATGAACATAGCAGTCGTCATTTACTCCCGACATCTGAGCCACTGAAGACGCAGTGGATTACATTGTTTCTGAAGGGAATGCGCCCCTGATCTACCTAAATGCGTCTATGTTCGTACGAATCCATTCATGATTCGTGAACCTCCAGAAGAAGTGAGTATAAGGTATTTTTTAATGAATCTTTGCAAATCGCCTTTCCTAATAATGTGCTAGTTAGCAAGTTCCACGATGAATGCGGCTAAAGTAAACAGTCTCTCAGAGAGTGGCTCGGAAGAGAGGGGCGGGGTCAGCAGAGCTCATTA